TTATTCATTGTCGTCTTTGATGAGGGAACAACTTGCCGAGGAGGCCGCGCTGTCCGCGTACGCGGCTTGACAGATAAGTTCGCGAATGCTTTTCACGAATCTTTAAAGACCAAATATAAAAATGAAAGACGCAGCCACTTTACGCCAATAAAACCAACTTCATGTTTTGAGCAGACGTCTTGCGAGAGTTGCAGTATTTTAATTAGGCCTAATAAATTACATGTTTAGGACTAAGTACCAAACTTTTTTAAATGTATTAAGAACCAAAATGTCAATTGGAAAGTTCTAGAGCTGCTTGAGAAACACCCGATTAGCTGTTTGCAACATGATACGGCTCGCGTGGCTTCCTTCTGACTAGTAATAAAGTTTATGAAACATGACAAAATACCCCGTGATAAAGCGCCCGCCCCATCATAAACTCAATTTCGAATGTCCCGGGATTTGTTTTCATAGGCCGGAAAAAAAAAAGAGATGCATGCAAGACGCGTGCCCCACGCTTTATTTATATCAGAAAAGAACTGCCCTCTGTTTTATATACAATGTTTTTTTTTGTTTTTTTTTTTCACCTACTAGATATTAGAAAAAACGTGGAAATTAACGTTTTGTGGATGTGAGCTATACGACCAGGCGAAGATTGGATTCAAGAAAGAACGCAACAAAAACCGACTGATTACCTAACATTTGTTAATTAACTTTTTGATTATAAAACAAAATGAGATAGTTGATTTATAAAGTTGTTGGGCGTAATCAAAAGCCACCAAATTGTCCAGTGAAAATTAGCGCCATTGCGGTTTGTGTAGGTGAGCTATACGGCCAGGCGAGGATTAGGTTCAATAACGAACGCAACTAAAACCGACCGATTGCCTAAAATTCGCTAATTAACCTTTTAATTAGAAAAGAAAACGGCATCTTCTATTTATAAAGTTGTTGGCCATGATCGCAGGCTACCGAACCGTCCATTCTTAAAAAGATGTATCGCGCGTACACTATTATACGGCGTCCTCCTAATTTGGGTGCGAAAATATAGTTCTGATTATGAGGGCTCCATCTCCGCGTGGCACAGCCTAACGCCATGAAGCCAAAGCGACAAATCATGCGCATCGCTGTGACAACGCCACTGTAGAAGGGGCGAGGAGTGCGGTGGCCGAAAAGATTGCGGTAACACGATTCGCGTCCAAATTAGGCTTTTTAGGACGCCGTGAGGCACTTCACGTCCACTACATTGCTTCAACTCTGACGTCTTTTTTAGAAAAAATGTCTAGTCGTTAAAACAAAATCGCCCTGTATAAGCACGATTGTAAGGCAGTTCTTTACGTCCGGCGACATCATTACGGCATAGAAGGAGACGTTGACCACAGATCATACTCTGTGTATGATCTGTGGTCACTGTTTTTTTTTTTTCGTACAAGAATGAGCAAACATTTGATACCAAACAAAACAGATTTAGCATTCACCGAATTCGGCTTGTTTACTTGATTCAAATCGATATTTGATTTGATTACACTTATTTTGTACCCGCACACGCCTACTTTATTTCCTAATGTGTTACAAGTGATAATTACATTGTTTTTTGTTTTCTTTTTTGTTTTTTTGTCGTGCGAGGTCATTACAATTTATTGTTAACAATCGGAGCTATGCGATTACGCGGAGGAGGTGCATTTGAAGATATTCGAAATTGTTCTGAATACACAAACAACTTCAAACGTCTTGCTGCTTGGGTCGTTTCCTACACGCAGGACCAATAATAAAGCCAAAACCTTATAAAGGAGACTATCTCTATCAACTCAACGCACAAACACGATGTGAAGCGTGTCTGCGTACGTTGGAAAAGATATACCGGCGAGCAAACCATAGCGTCGAATGTCCATGCATCAAAATGTCCGTGCACCGAAATATCCGCGCACCGAAACGTCCCACACCGAAAAGTCTTTGCAGCAAAAAGTCCCTACACTGAAATGTCTGTGCACCAAAAATCCGCACCGAAATGCCCTACAGCAAAACGCTCTACACCGAAATGTGCTAGACCCACTACGGATGGGATCCTCCGTCACCTCTGCCGGTCCACGAACCATAATGAATCAGAACCACTGGTCTATGAAGCGCCATCCCTAAGATACCGAAAAACGCCGCTCGTACTTCCCGTTGTCGCCATGAATCCGCCTAAACAACGAAAGATGCCAAATCAGATATTTATATTAAAATTGATACTTCAATGACTACTTCTTTGAGCAGAACAAGGCATTTGTGCTCTCACAACAGCAAAGAATCGTCTTCCAAACCAATGCTAAAAAAGAGCCTAAGCAACTCGTTGGGAAGAGCAAGTGCCGAGCTCGCTCAAAGCAGCTACTCGGTTGGTTCAGCTCCTTGTCGCAGGTGTGCCGGCTGGCTTCTGGATAATCTTTTCAGATCCTTGAAGCTTTCATTTCCTTCACCCCAAACTTGTAAAAAAAAAAAAAAAAAAAAATACAAACAGCTGGCAAAAAAAAAAAAAAAAAAAAAAATCGGAAAATGGCGAGGAGGAAGCGATTTCCTCCTTTCACAGTGGCGAGAAGGAAAGTGAGGGTCGGGTTCCTTCTCTCTGCTTGCGGGCCGGGTGAACGAGTGCTGCCTGCTGAGCGCGTGCTGACGGCGACCTTCCACAGTTCTTTTGCAACGTGCATTCCGCACAATAAGATGGCCGGTATTACAGCAGCCTATTGATGTAAGCTTGTTCTGAGCGTGCGCTCTAAACATCGCCCTCAAGTATGGCGTTCAGTGAATACCCGGGTATTCGCGGGACGCCATTTTTATGAAAGTTTCTCAGAGCGCATGCTGAGAACTAGCTCCCACTTATCGTTTCTAAGAACAAGGATTGTGTGCAATGGACGTTAAGCGTGCATTCTCGTGCACTCCCCACAGGCAGTGAAGCCAAAGCTATGGCTACCTGTGCGCTTCCGGGCCTTGAGCACTGATCAAAGCTATGCACGCGCGGTGTTCGTTTTTTCTGAAATTTTAGGAAACGTTCTCCTCGAGCATTGTTCTGAGCATGCCCTGCGAACTAACGTTGCTGCGAACAACGTGGCGCCCTCCTATGGTTACCTTTCGTGACGTCATTAGCTTGTGAACAATAGTTTGAATTTGTTTGTAAATAGCATGGTGGAAGCTTGAAATCATAGCACACTCAAACCAACGCTGCCAACACCGTAGAAATTGAATTTCTTTCATTCCTATTTCCGTCGATGGAAAATCCTTTGCTGACGTCATAGTCAGCTTTCAGCCTATCGTGGAAGACCGATCACAGCGACGTGCTACAAGGGGAAACATTCCATTGCCACCGCCTACTACATTGGCGCTCTATCGGCTAGCCCTGGAGCACTTTGGACCCTACGTATAATTTTTTATAATGTTCTGCATATCACTATTTTACCGTGGGTTTGTAATAATTCTGGCAATGTTATAAGCGGCCGTCTTTTAGATATACAGTACTTCGAATTCATCCAAGAAATGCTGCAAAACCTTCAGTCTGTTTAGTTCTACACCGGTCGGAAGTGTAGCAGGACCTCACCGATACATGGTGCCTGTCTACTAGTGTGTTAAGCGGCTACTAATGAACGCAATGCAGTTGAACACAGTCAAGTGCAAATGCGAAAAGCAGTCTTAACCTGTGCAGAGATCTCCGGACCATCTTTGGTTCCGTGACTTGCGAATCTAAGAGTCGAATCAAATTTAAGTCCAAAATCTTTCATTCCACTTACAACTGTAATTGTAGAAAGTATTGTGTGTCTTCCGGGACAACGTCACGTAGAGGATCGTTGTTTGAGCACCATCTAGGGAGAGAACATCCGTACTCTTGAAGCCTAATGCAATCCTGTAATAGTCGCTATCTCTTTTTGAAAGTTTATGCCGTCGCTATAATAATATTATGGTCACTGACAGGATTATACTCCGTTCACCTTTAAAGGGGCGCTGCAACAATATTCAATTGGAATGTCTTTCACTTTACACGAGTTTACTGGCACAGGTGGGACTCAAGGATACTCGCACGAAACGCCACTGGCCAAGAAACTCCTTTGTTGCGGTGAACTTCCAAGGACCCAGATGCGAGCACTTTTATTCAATCTCTCCTTCACGATACTTGATGACTTAACTGGAGGATCGCAGTATTTTTCAGTGACGATATTTGATTACGGCTCATAGATTGAGCCCTTTCATCGCGTGAACACTCGATTTGGGCTGGGGATAATCGATAGCTCGAGAAGCGTTCGGGCACAAGCCCGTGTCCAATCGCTGCAATGACGACAATAGCCGTACCTAACAGCGTTTGAAACTCAGAGCGTGTCCTGTGCCATTCCAACCCCACCGCGTGGCTATGATCAACTTTGGCGGCATATAATCGGCTCCATATCACGTAGCCACTTGTTCGGGCTGCGAGTTGAGGGGATGAACGCTGCTGGTTTTTGTTTATTTTTTTTCTGCGACTTCGATTGCGTGTGGTGAAAAACGAAGGGGTGTTTCCCGGGTCATTAACACCAAGAATCCGTTCTAAGCTGTATTTGTGCAAAGTAGAAAACTTGCTGCACCGCCCCTTTCAGCTGAGACCGCAGCCGATGCCACAAGCATGAGAGCTCGAGGTCGTTGCTTGAAGCGTTCATCCACAGGGTCAGCACTCGTGCTAAAAATCCGCGTGTGAAAGCCAGGAGCGCGTCCTTGCTCGCACTTGTAGCTTTGGCCGCAGACTCAGCTTAAGGGTCAACAGAGTATAGAACCATAGGGAGGTCATTCAGTTGTCCCGCCTCCAGTACGAACTTTCTGCCTTCGACAACGCTTCGGTGGCTCGAGATCCTCAGGCATGCATCCGCACACAAAGGACGATGGAAGGTGACGAGCGCGTGCAGGAGGCTGCGCACCTGAAAGAGATGCCCTGCTTTTCTCAATTTTTCGGTGACTATTGTAATAAAGATCTCTTCCGGAGGGGGATATGCCGCCGCTGTCTCGTGAGTTTCCCCATTGACTGTTTGCAGGGACCTTCGAATGGCTGGATGGTTCACCTTTGGACTTCGAGTACTGGCAAAAAGGGGAGCCAAATGGCAAAGACGAGAACTGCGTCGAGCTTCGACACTTCGATTCCCTGTGGAACGACATCAAATGCAGTGTCAGGAACGCGTTTATCTGCGCAGCTGCGAAAGGTACATGATTTTCTCACTTTAAATATATTCATACAGTGTACATTTAAAGTTTATAATACATGAATGAAACTTTGCATGAAAAGTTACACCAAAAGAAGACAACAAACACAAAATAAAAAAAAACACACACACAATGGATGTTAGTTGCTGACCAATCAAGTTTACTTGTACGACTTTTTAACGTGCTGCTTTAAATTTGAAAAGTGACTACCACTTTTGAAGTTACCATATAATATTAGTATTTTGCTGATAACGTGGCTAATTTATTTATCCATTCTAGTTTCACATAAATTGCCCACATTGTTGGTTCAAAATTCTCCTCAGACATGCGTTATAATATCATAGTTAAAATGTTTTCGTGTCTGGTTGTAATTATGATCACGAACTAAATATCATCGCGTAAAAAATATTTCAGCCATGTGTTTTTTTTAAATCGTGGAATGTTCTAGAAGATAATTAATCCAGCCAGGTAGCGAGCCCTCTCCCAAAAGGTAGCCCACCTTTATTTTCTGTCTGATTTCTTGTTTTAAAAATAATCCCAATTACAACCCACCCGCGAAGAATGGCGTTAGCCAAGCGATAACAGAGTGCCTACCACAAGAAACAGCCCCAGCTTCGGAAATGAGAGCGACTACTTTTCGGTAACTTAAAGGCCGGTCCGCACATATCATCGCAGTGCTCAAATTACACTAGGAACAGCGCTGATGCAGCACTTGCTTGAACGTAACTTAGCGCTGATGTAGCGCTCTGTCAGCACTGTACGAATCTCTAATACAGCACGAAGTCAACACTATCTCACTGAGGTAGCACTGTGGTCTATGTTTGAACAGGCCTCCAAGAGACGAGTGAATTAAGTTGTCCTTTTGCTGTTGAAATCATGTGGTGCTCGTGGTGTGTTCGAGGGAAAGTAATATAAGCTGCACTGAACACTAAGTGAAGTGTTTTTTTACATTTCGTGACCTTTAGCCAACCATATAAGTTTTCGCTCAATTGGCTCACAGTTGTTGAGAGCACCATTTTGGGGTGTTACCATCACCTTGAAACGAATCCCATCCAAACATTGTCGCAGCATTGTGGCTCTTTTTGACCTTTGGTAGTTAATGTCGAAAATCTAGTAGGACATTGTTATCTAGACTCTTTCTTTTTGTTCACCCTTGTCCCCGACCACGTCGTTAACAAATCCAGTATGCGGGATGGAGAAAAAACAAGGAAGCATTACAACCTGAAGCAAGTAAAATAATATAGAAAAGGCATAACAAGAATGGTACACAAGTGGCGAATAAAACGTGAAGTTTTCTCAGTAGTGTGGCGAGACTAAAATGATGTTTCCCGTATACAGGAAGTTCCGCGATTCAAGATGGCGCCGCCCGCGTAGAAAAGGTTCATAGGAAGGGTTACGGTATTATCCTTTACTATCATTTAAAGAAGCGGTGGAATAATCGTGGGCGTTGTAGTGGAGCGAAAACTAAAGCAAGACGTTATCATCGTCACAATTTCTAGCAAGGGAAAGGGTAAGGGTGCTGTTGTATCAGGGCGCCGATCATGGCCATTGTATGCAATCCGATGATCTCAGTTTGGGTAAGGTCTCAATTTGGACGAAATTCTCAAGTCTGCGTACCGCTTTAGTTTGATAGACATTTCATTTGAAGAAATTTCAATTCTGCTTGCACCTTCAATGCTGATAGAAATTTCAGTTTGTTCGTCCTGGGCCTCTTCGTTTGCCCGAATAACCTTGTATCAATGAGTGCGAAGAAGGGTCAGTGCAGGCTAAAGTGTTCAATTCCCTTTCAAGCTTTAGATCGCTTAACTACAATCTTATAACCTGCGTTTTTCCACTTTAAATGAACAATTCAAACTACAGTTGTTCGAAATGAGGACGCTGCATGCAAAGATTTTACGGCACCTTTTTGTTATAAGATCGACAATATGTTTGGGAACTGATCACGAGATTTTGTTAAAGGGATGGTAAACCGAAATTTGGATTTCAGTAAACAATGCAGGAGCTGTAGGCGGGACGCTACAATCCCTACAACGCTACTCGTAAGGCGATAACTCGAATGGACGGCCGTATTTTTGGAAAAAGAGGTCGAGATTAAACGAGGCCGACGAGGCGCGTGTCGTCAAGATATCTCGTTTCCTCCTCTCTTCGCTTCGCCTCCTCAAGGTGCCGAGGTGGAAAAGACGCTAGGCCGTTCCCTCTCCTTCTCGGAGAAACAAAGACGTATACAGATCTGTCAAATGCGTCTCATTTTTCTTTTTTTGAAAAATACGGTCATTAGTTTAAGATATCGCTGAATGAGTGATGTTTTGGTGTTTGTAGCATCCGGTTGCACGCTTTTGCCGCCGTGTTTCGTGGAATCCAGATTTCGGTTCAGCATCCCTTTAATGTCAAGCTGAAACAAAAATCACACGCATGCCATTTTAATTTGGCGTGGTAAAATTACATTTAACGCGGACGTCGTTAGATTTCAGTGTTATGCCCGAGGGACAGATGCATCAGGTAATCATTCCCCATCGGTGTTCTAAAAAATGTTTCTACGTGAGCCGAATATAGCGTTTTCAGCGTAAAGTATCTGACGTCAACATTAGTGTAAAATAAACCGAGCGGCCATTTCCGAATGAAGACTAACGCAATTATGCACATTTGTTTCATTTTTATTTTCAGTTTTTCCGGACGGACATCAACAAGGTGATTTTCTTATTTATTCAATTTATTCAATTTATTTATTCTGATACCTGCAGCGCTATGAGGCATCACAGTAAAGAGAGGGACTAATTCGGGAGTGGAAATAGAAATTGTTATTCAAAATTAGAAGTGCTTTAACAAGCCCAATACCACACCACATTTTGAATTCCACAGTACTCATCATAACTGTTGACAGGATGTAATTAAAAGTTACGATTAGAATAAGACACCACGAGGTTAATGATGAACCAATAGCTTGACACGGTACAATGCTCACTGACATTAATGTAGGTGTCGGTAATGAATGGAAGGAATTAAACATCCTCGAGATCCCTGGTGACGTTTAATTTTGTCAACTTATTTTTTTTTTCTTTTTTTTGCAAACCCGTAGGGTTTGAGTGGCCTACACAAAGACAAGGGAGTAAGAGTGGCGATGTAACAGCGTTACCCCTCCCCCCCCCCCCCCCCACACACACACTTTAATATTTGCAAAAGGGGGCCGGGAGGGGGGGGGAAGGGCAAAAATAGACGAAGTCACACACCAGGCCATTATAAAACATAACAAGTTTTGTTTTTATTAAAATGCACACAGGCAATCTGTCTTATTTGTTGCCTCGATAACATATTGTTATCTAGGAAATGTAGTAAATTTTTAAATCCATAAAGAGTGTTTAATTTTATTCATAACATATTTTTAAAAAAATCCGTGAAAGGTACAGTGATGTGGTTGTGCAGGTGGGTTATAACTTATAGGGTCAGGGAGATATAATATAGAGTGCCAATCCTCACAATAAGTCAAACGAATAGCTAATTGTTTTATAACTGCCTTTGAAATTAGTGGAAATAAACATATGGTTACAATTAGCAACTCGCTGAGCGTAATCGAAAACCAGTAAATCAGTCAATATTAGTATCATTTGAAGCGCGTAAAAAGAGCGAGGTTGCACCGAAGTTACCACTCGCACAACAACCGCAATTCTTTTTTTTTTTTTTTTGTTTCGCGGGTTTGCCGCGTAGGGGGCAGAGATAAAGGCGTGATGCCTGACAAAGCCTCTGCCCCCTAAAGTCCAGCAGCTCAAAGTAGTTACATAATAACATATTCTACAAAACATCATACAGGTAAAATAAAACAAGAGAAACAAGTCAAAGAAACAAGAAGAATAGACACTATATTCATTTGCTAAAAAAACTCTATAAACGAGTGTTGGTCGTAAGAAACCGAAAACAGTAACAACAAACAGTAACAACAAAAAACTAGAATACAATCTTGTGCTCCTCTGACATATCAGCATCACAAGCAAGTTCTCATGAAGGAATACAATGAAAACAAATCTTTGAAATTAGCTATATCTAGTGATTGTATTCTTGGTGATATACACTATCCAAATGAGAATGCGATTTCACTGCCAACCAGGAAACTTCTACAATCCCTTTTAAAACCAGGTAACGTGTTGTTAAAGTTAATGTTGAAGTCCGTTCTATTTAGAGTTTTAGTTGTTTGAAAAATGAAAGTTTGTTGACCATAGTTGGTTCTTATGGCCGGCATCCTTCGCTTCGGATTTCTAATCGGATATGCACTAAGGCTGTTCACTGGTGTGGTGTAAAGTCGATTTTTATGTATCCACAGTAAAAGTTTGAAGTAATATATTTGATCTGCCTTAAGAATATTATATTTGATGAAGAGTGGTTGTGTTCTTAAATTTCTGGCATCCCCTTTATAATTTTCACACATTCGTAAGATTTTTTTTTGCAAAAGGATAATTTTATTATAATTCGCCGCCGTCGTCGTTCCCCAGACCAGAATACCATAACAAATTTTGGAGTAGAATAAGGAATAATACAATGTGTGTTTTAACCAGGTCGGTATCAAATTTTGTATTCTATAAATGCATCCTGTTACCCGGGATAAATCAGCCTTTAGTTTGTTTACATGGCAATTCCATGATAGATCCTCAGCAAACCAGACGCCCAAAAATTTTTGTTCTGCTACCTGCTCCAATGTTGTGCCTTCGTATATTACTTTAATGGAACTATAGTCTTGCTTATTTGCTGGTTTAAAAATGATATACTTAGTTTTTTTTGTATTTAATTGTAGACGATTTATTTGCAACCATATTGATAATTTTGAAAGATATTCATTAGCCAACTTCTCGACGCACTTTTTCGTCGCACCAGCAAAGAATATATTTGTGTCGTCGGCATACATTATTAGTTCAGGGGAACCTGGTATTGTCGTAATGTCATTAATGTACACGAGAAATAACAGAGGGCCTAAAATAGAGCCTTGAGGAACACCATGTCGTATTTTCAATTTATTAGATGAATGGTCATTTATAGATACATATTGATAACGATCTGAAAGATACATTTTTATTAGTCTTAGTGCAACTCCTCGTACACCGAAGATTTCAAGTTTTTTCAATAGAATATTGTGCTGCACAGTATCAAACGCTTTTTGTAAGTCCAAAAAAACTCCAAGAGTCAATAATTTGTTTTCAATATTTTCAACAATTTTATCCTTTATATCAATTAGTGCTTGTTCCGCAGACCTATTTTTCTGAAAACCGTATTGAGCCTGCGTTATTGTTTGGTGCTTCTGAAAAAAACTCATTAACCTGTCATTGATAATGCGCTCAAAAATCTTGGAAAATACTGGAAGAACCGAGATCGGCCTATAATTATTAATATTTTCCTCTCCTCCTCCCTTATACACAGGAATTACCTTGGCTATTTTTAATTCTTCGGGAAAATCACCAGACTCTAGCATCATATTTATTATATGGGACAAAATGGGACTTATAATGCCCGCGGTCTGTTTTATAGGTAAAGATTTTATTCCATCATCTCCAGCGGCCACATCATTTTTTAAGTTTCCAATTATTCTTTGCACTTCATTTGACGTAGTTGGAATTAGCATGATAGACTGCATCTGATTCATCGTGGACACACTGTTATCTGTGCTGACACTATTCCCCATGTACGTGCCTACGTCAATAAAATGCCGATTCATTTCGTCTGCTAGTTCTTTTCCAGATACATTTCTATTGTCTATTAATATTTCCTTCAAGCTATATCGTGTTGACCTTCTATTGGTTAAATCATTTACGGTGTCCCATACTTTTCGACTATCATTGTGATGATGCAGAAACTTATCTTGATAATAATCGCACTTCGCGCTCTTCAGATCGGTGTTCAGTTTGTTTCGAAACCGTTTGAATTCAGTTAAAAGAGAGAGATCCCGACTTATGATGAAAGCATGATACTTGCGGTTTTTTTCTTTTATTCTTTCATACAGGTCGCCAGATACCCACGGTTTTCTTATTTTCTTCCTTCTTTTTATCTCTCTCAGGGGAAATGCAGCATCATAATTCTGTCTAAATTTAGTCTCAAAAAGTTTATAGGCACGGTCCGTTTCACGTTCTTCGTAGACGTCATCCCAACTTTCTTGTTCTATAAGGCAGTGAAAAGTTTGTAGTGAGCCGTCATTTATTGGGCGGTGCCAAAACGTTTGTTTTTCGTTGCTGTGCTCCCCAGTTAAATAAGACCGAAAGCAGAAGATGGGAAAATGGTCACTAAGGTCGTATAATATAGCGCCAGCTGTAATATGTCCACTATCTAGGTTTGTAATGCAGACGTCAAGAGATGTAGCAGTGTCTGTAGTCACCCTGGTTGGCAGTGTTATCACATTGTCACAGGCATACTGATGGATGATGTCGCGTAATTCTCTCGCATGACGGTCACCTGAAAGCGTGTCTATGTTCACATCTCCGAGAATAATGAATGACAGAGATAACGACCCGAGGATACAGAGTGCGTTTTCAAGAAATTGCATGAATTCAGACATATTGCCGGAGGGTGGTCTGTACAAGGCAGCAACTACAGTATTAGATGTTCTAATGAATAAGCTTTCGACATTTTCATCCATTCTTGTTAGGTCATTCATAACTTGAGACTGTAGGTTATTTTTTAGATAAATAGCTATGCCACCGCTCCTTTTTTCATCTCTGCTCAGATGTTCGCATTTATAGCCCTGGAGGTACGGTGGTGTGTCTTCTTTAGATAACCATGTTTCAGTGAGTACTATGGCTTCAAATTTCGCACTCAATGAGTGTAAAAATATTTCGAGGTCATCTACCTTATTTTTTATGCTTCTTGTATTTAAGTGTATAGATTTAAACTGTCCTTCACCTTTTCCATATTTTTTATTAAATGCCTGACAATCGTAATAGTTACAATCAGGTTTAGTGTCCTCCATTATAATGGCTTTGCGTGTATCCCGTGGGTGTAGTCATCTTATTTAGTTTGTTATTTTTTCAACGTCACCCAGGTTAGCAATCCTTAGAACATTTGCTTGCTCATCCTTTCTCGCGAAGACTTTCCCGCCCGAGGACCACACAAACTTCCAGCCAACCGTTTTTTTCTTGGCTACAGCGGCACCCAAAAGTTTTTTGTTTGAACTCGTCAGATGTTCGTTGACGTAAACAGGACTACTGTTCCCACCATAGTCAAGATTTTCAGTTGTCATTCTCTGCTTTCTGGCTTTTCGAAGAATTTTATCTCGCTTCGTGCGTTGCACGAAGCGAACAATTATGGTCTTTTCAGAGGGCTTGAAGGTCGGGACACGGTGACATATGTCAATATCCGAGTCAAGGATCGGCTCGTTCAGGAGACTCCCAATTCTTTTGACAACGTCACATGCATCACCTTCCTCTGGCACTCCTTTTATTTCAAGGTTATTACATCTTTGATATTGCTCAAGTTCTTCAATTTTTTCGTTTAGCCTTTGATTCTCGATTGTTAGTTCTTCGTTTTTTTCCGTCAGTTTCTGAACATCTTTTCGGAGCCCTTTCATTTCATTTCTGATTTCGTTGACTCCGTCACAAGTGTCGTTACAAAACTTCACACTGTCTTTTAGAGTTCTGAGTTCAGCTCTCAGTTCGCGTCTTAGATCTTCAATGGCTTTCGCAATGTCTTTCGTTTCCTTACTCATTATAGATCAGGAATTAAGAAAGCAACACCCAACGGAACTTCGTCACTCCCACAAAGACAGTTTCAATATACTAAGAGTTGTTGCTGTGTTCGGCAGCAGTGCACAGACGCTTTACTGAGTTTATACAAGAAATACGTGGTGCTCACCTGCAGAAATACAGATGATTAGGTGTTGCTTCGGTGCGCACTGCTGCCGAACTGAGGTCTGGGATGTTGGGCAGGCTTCTTTTGTAGACTTTGGCCGTCAGTGGCGCGCTGATCTTGTCCCTTCCAGGCACGTGGTGTTGTCGGCGTTGCACGATGACGGGCGATGTTTGGCGAAAGGAATCCTCGCGTGCCAAGGATGCTGCAGAAATACAGATGATTAGGTGTTGCTTCGGTGGGCACTGCTGCCGAACTGACTATGCTAGTGGTGCATAAACGCGGATGATAAGAGACAACTACTGCGAGGGCGTGTTATCACTAGAGTTCCGCATTTTGGGGGTTTATTTTTCTTCAAGTTCGGGAACGATTCTTAGGGATTTATTTTTTCGCCACCGATTCGGTGTTTTCGGTATCAATTGTCGGTGTCAGCCAAGAAATCAAGAGTTATCAGGGCCCATCTAAAAAAGAAAAAAAGAAAAAAGGACATATATGGCATGGAATTTTTCAACCTCCGGGGAACTTACGCGTTACCAAAAAACTTGGAGACCGTCTCCGATCGAGAAAAAAATAAATAAAAGAAACGGAATAAGATGTGCGGTTCCGAACTAAGGAAAAGCCTTCCGGACAGCCCATTTGGGGGTGCTGTCTTTCGGGTCAGGAAGGAATAAAGCTGTAGATCAATATATTCTTCCCTCGGAGCAGATTTTTCGTAGCGTGAGCTACACTGGCCGAGGTTGAGCAGTTTCACGTGGCTCGCCTAATGAGCCATGCTCCGTGCTGTGCATGCGCGAGGAGCAGTGACGTCACACGGCGCACAGCTGGCGCGCCGGAGCCGCCACCGCCGCCGCGCGCTCCGCCGCCGCCGCGCGCTCCGCCACCGCCGCTCGCGCCTCGCCGGTCTGCGCATGCGCGAGGAGCAGTGACGTCACACGGCGCACAGCTGGCGCGCCGGAGCCGCCGCCGCAACCGCGCGCGCCTCGCCGGTCTGCACATTCCAGAGGAGTGACGTCATAGCCACGACAGACGCACTGCCGCCGCCGTGTGCCCAGCTGTGCGCCTCCGTTGCGCAGTAGCCAAGTCTGACGCTGCACCGGAGCCGCTTGATAGCGCATCTCATTTTGTGCGGATAAGCTCACGCTACGTATATCGTGACATAACCGAGCTAAGTAACCGCAATATTTTTTTTTTAATTGAAGAACAGTTTTGATTTGGGGTTTATTGGTTTTCTCTGATTTTGACAGAAACGGTCCCGGGGGTGGGGGGGGGGGGGGGGGGGGGGAGGGGAGGGCGGGGTTTGGTAAAGTCTAGTTTTCGAACCTTAGCCTTCCTCCTGCTGCACGAGTGGTAACTTTGGCGCTCACTTGTGCTTCCCACGTGTTCCAAGTCTTTCTAACATTGATTGAATAAAGTTTAGATCACATTGCTCATACATCACACAGAAGACAGTCTGCAAACACGAGTCCCCGCAATATCCGTGGTTCGAATGCCACGTGCCAAGTTTTCTCCTTGAACTCATTGACATACGGCATTCGAAGCACGGATCTCGCGATGACTCGCGTTCGAATCTGTATGCAGACTGTATTTTGTATTATGCACAAGCAGTGTGACCCCGGCTTAAAGGGGTACCCCGGCGATATTTCGGACCCTCTCAATAGTATATAGTTTCTGAATCCCCGGCCTGGGCACCCTTTCCGGTATGCTATTTAGTACCGCGACATTCATAAAAGTTATTGTGAAATCGGCCAATCAAAATTATGCGAAAATTAAAATTTAAATATACCGCACTTTTCATTGTCGTGACGTCTTATCAGTCGAGCAAGCAGTTTTATAAATAGAATATGTCAAGCATTTGTTCTGTGCTGACGCTTGAGCACTGGACCGGCCTTCCAAAGCATTTATCAGACACCATGAAACTGCTTGGAGTTTGTTAGGAACAAAATCTACAGTCCAAAGAGTGAACCCCGGCCTTCCGGTGACGTCACTTTTTCGTTGTTACCAAAAGAAACTCAGTTTGAAAAGCATGGTGAGGACCGAAAGTGTTAATTTAATATCTTCGTGAAAAAAAATATTTTAACCTAATAGTTGGGATACTATTTGCACCATGTTTCTTACTGTGTTCAGCAAATGTTCAGGTAAATCGGGGACCATAAAGAAATTGCCGGAGTGCCCCTTCAAGGAATTTTTATTGATGCTAAGCAAGTTTTTAATTGGAACCATATGTTTATTATCAATATTTAAAGAGTGAATTCACATATTTTAGTTTATTATTCGACTTATCGTAACCACTATCTTTCTATTTATGTTTCCCTAGCCATATAACTCTCCTGCACAAACCGGATTAGTGTAGCTTTCACGGAGTTTTTTTTTTTTTTAAATAAACCTAAATAAACCTGCTGAAATTAAAATCGAGCACCTTTATAATATGAGAAAAGGGAATGTTTGAATGTTTTAGAGATATAAAGGACCATGATACGCTTTTCTCTAAGTACTGTTAAGTTTTAAGTTTTGTAGCTTAGGATATATGAACCGTGCGTTAGACTTTGTTTTCGGCTTTAACTATTACATTAAAAGGTACTTGAAAAAATTGAGTACAGTAAACTTCTCCATCTCTTGGTCAGAACGTAGAGTAACGTGCTCCGTGGGCGTTTGATGCCATACATATCTATCACAGTAATGCTCATGGGCTGGCGATCCTGAGATCGCCTGCTATGGCCCGCCTTGTACATTGGCAAAGCTGGTTCACACATCTGTTTACCTGGTGTAACCGCTCCTTACGGATCCGTCGGCTGGCTTTTCGAGGTAATAAACATATATCGCTAAAGAAAAAAAAGCATATGTAGTTTTTTTTTTTTTTTTTATCAGATCATAGGGAATGACGAACCCAGTGAATGATATCGCTTTGAAAGCGATAAGGCCTAAAACAATGCGATGTGTGCAAGCGAAACTTCCTGCGCACTTTTCCTGAGCGCACCTAATTCCTTCGGCCTAATCGTATTCCGAGCTTCGTGATTGGCCCAGGTCTTTCTATTCTCCGCCACGATTGGTTGTCTTCTTGCGTTCTGCAGGAAAGTGAACGCACAAATTTGTTTTATAACGTAGGCTGTCTCAAGCTACGGGGTTATCCATTGATGTATTTATTTCAAGCGTCTAGTGTGGTAGAAAGAAAAAAAAAAGAATTACCAAAAACGATACAAATAAGATATTTCGATAACTTTTTCGTTGTTTCGTTTTCTCTTTCTCATCCTCCTCTTTTTTTTCTTTCTCTTTTTCGCATAAATTTTTTCTTCTGTCCTTTTTTTTTATCGCGAACCCTCCCCCAACCAAAGCTAAAATAAAAGCAGAAACCGCACGCAACTGGGGAAGACGTTCACAATTTAGTGACTTTCTTTAAAAAGACGAAGCCATGACGCCGCATTCGTGCCGCTCGTACATCATACAACAACCATCATGTCAGAACTATCTCCGGAGTCCGGATACTCCTCAGTCATGTTTCAATCATGTTTTTCTTGATAAATGTGTATGCTTGGAACCACTCTGCAGACAGTTTTCATGACCAATGCGACAAGACCATCATGCAAACAACAACAACAAAAAACATGTCTGAGGCAGCGTATGCAGACTGTACGATGAATTAGTGGCGTGGCATAAATTGAAATCAGAGAACTAGCGGGATCCCTTTAGGATAACCGGGTTTTTCTCGGCAATCAGGCGCGTTCTTCGAGCTTTGGTTGCGCAAGGCACTTGTTCGCCGCCTTCCGTGCCACGTACAAGTACTCGTTAAAAGCCGACGACCAGACACGAGGTTCTGCAAGGCAGAAGATCCTCCTCGCCCTGAGGGAGGAGGAAACAGGCAACGGTGGACAGGGTACAAGGGGTGAGGGGAGGAAGCGGAGGAAACTGGAAAGCTCGAACTGATCGTCGGTTCTCAACTAGAAGCGCTTATCTAGGGTGTTTGTCTAGAATGGGCGTTAAACGATGACTAAGGACGAAACGATAGAGTGTATCTATAGCTGTTTAACATTTTTTCTCAAATTTTCTTTCAGGAAGTGGCCAATCTAGTCCACTCACTGGTGAGTAGCCGACGTCTCTAAACAAATACACGTTTGCCCGTTGTCTCACATTAAAAAGGGATATGTAAACTCAGCGTTTTATTTTTTTTTTTTTTTTGAGGTTCGCGCAGTTTTTCAGTGAGCGGTGCGATTTCCTTGTAGTTTGTGCAAAGCGTAAAAAAACGTGTTTATTATGAAAATAACTTTTTAATTATTCCGTTCTCGTTTGAATGAGCTTTAAGGCATCCACTATAGTCAGCGACATCTTACATAACGCGGGGCGTGACCTATTTGGTTCACGTTTCTTGCTTTGGGATTCGTTCTTCGACGTTCTTATTGCATTGTGTGGCAATCGTATTGGTTGCGGCATCATCCAATTAGCAAAGCCGGTTGTAATCATATTTCCCGATTGAAGGAAAGTTGAATGTCCGAATGTTACCCGACGCATTTGGAATTAAACTAATCGAAAGCCGGTATTTAACACGCCAGCGAGGCTGATAAAGCATCGCCAGAAATGCTACCTTATAGAATTCGGCACCTTTCGGCACGTGGATTACCGCAAGCTGATGTCGATAAGCGCGGAAAAAGGGAATCGAAACTTTTCATAATTGGGTAGTGACACAAACCTTTGGACGCACGGGGATTGAACCTGCCACCGGTTTGGATGTGCGCTCGCTCTTTTGCGGCCTCTCCGGTGATTGCAATGCGGCACTGCGGCGGAGTAGACTGAAAGCGCGGCTGAGGGACCGTGGGAGCTATGCCGCAGCGCGACCGTATGAGGCGTCACTACTGTACTCGAGGACGATTTTCGTTGACTGTGCCGTGAAAAGCACGGGAGCGCGTGCTTAAAGGCCGACGACTAGACTCGAGATTCTGCACGGCAGAGGATCCTCCTCGCCGTGGGCTCACAGGCAACGGTGGACAGGGTAGGAGAGAAGGAGAAAAGGAATCGGGAGGAAAGTGGAAAGCGCGAACTGGTCGTCGGTCTTTAGGAGCCGTTTGGTTAAGCTTGCTCGGTCTGCCTACAATCCTTTTGGGGTGCCAACATATGTGCTTTTCGTTTTCTGCTTTTCGGCGTGAATGCCGACTGCTTCAGAATGGGTTCTCCTCGGGTTTTCTTAGGTCGAACACCGCGAGAAGAATTCCTGTGGCTAAGTTGTTTATGCGGTATCCCGTTACATCATTCCCTAGCTTAAAGTGCCTGCTGCCCACAACTGTAGATGGAGATTTATCGTCTACAACAATGCTATTTCTTGGTATCCTCTTCATTCCCGCGGTGCTTAGCGAATAATCTCTGAGCAGCTGGTGGATAGGCACGCCGGAAGTCTTCCCCGATGTCGACTTACAATTCGGGACACAACAGTAAATAATTGAGCCACGCGGAAAAGAGCCCTTTGAGCAGTAGGGTGGAACCGCGAGAACAGTTAAAGTAGCTTGATGCGTTTGTCAGTTTGATACATGCTATTACAGCCCTCGGAGTCTCGTAGCAGGTCTCACCATAACCGTCCACAGTTTTTATGTATTGTGGAAAGTATGGGAACATAAGCTTCTAAGTATGAAAAGTGCTTCATGGAGCGGCTGTAGAAGGTGAACGCGCTTAAAGGCTTTGAATATCGTACCCGTGTCCTCAGTTTGGTTCTATGCTAAGGCGAAACTGTGCGTTGCCCTGCTCCTCACCAGTGCTTGTGAAACCGTCGATTGTTGTAATCAGTACTTGCTAAGATGCTCGACCCACTGAGACGTATGTCAACTTCATAGAATTATTTATTTTTGTTACGCGTGATGACGATAACGGAATATTGGATTTTTGTTTTCGAATTTGATGCCAAGCTGGAACGCGAAAAGTTCGTGAATTTCATTCTGATTATTTAAGCCAGTTATGTAAACAAACAAAAGGAAAACAGCGAGAGTACTGGCAGAAGTATTTTCAAGAAATTTTGAAACTAGAGCTCGTGAATTAGAAAGCGTTTAATAGTGTTTTATAACTTCGAACAATATTTTAGTTTATACTTCAAAACCTCATAAAGGGAGGAATAAAAATATCAGACAACACGACACAAAACTTTGCGTTGTGTGTTCCGTTATCCTGTGTTACCGTGTCTCGCCAGGGGTTGAGATTATGATGTTTTATAGTCAGCTGGGGTGTCTGGATTATCTTCCTTAGACTTTACTCGGCCAGCTTGATATTAAAAAGGGTAATTCTTGTTAATAAGGTGTAAACCTAAAAAGATCATCCTCAAATATTTGAAGAACAAATTATTTGTACGCCTTTCCCAAAATTAACATCCAGTTCCATGATATTGGACGTGCGACCCTTTCCACAGTATGACGCAATTGTTCAATGAATAGCATTACCATTTGAACCTTTGTGTACAATCCACAGTCTTCGTTCGCTAACTTTCTTTCGAATATACTACGTTCCATAGAGTAGCAAATCTCGTTTTAATACATCCATTGCAGCAAATCGATGTCATTAGCACGCTAGTATGTTTACCTGTTTCTATAACAATCTTTTGGGTGTTCTAAAACAGCCTTTGCTAAGGTTAACATTAAGAGCCATATCATTTTTAGTTTACATGGCTTCATACAAGAAAGTCAGTTAAAAAAATTACAAATACATGGTAGACAAAGTGTTTCCAGACACGCGCGCAATGAAGTAAACTAACGAAATTCAAGTTATTTGTGCGCTCTCGTGAAATTTTCTTGCGATACATGGCAGGTATCGCCTCATTGATTTGGCTATAATATCAACATTCCACGCATAATTGAAAGAGAGAAATTTCACCAGTGTTCTCTTCACTTCCCATCCCCATCTTTCGTTTCTGTGAAGGGTCAGTCTCGCCGGCTCTGGGAGTATCACTTGGCCTGCTGTCTCTTCTGTTGATCGTCGTGGCAGCCATCGTAGCTCGAGTCTACTTCCGCCAACGTCGACCGGGGCCTTCCGTGTTTTTCGAAAACGCCGTCTACATGGAAGAGCGCCAACCCCAGTCTACGACGGAAACTAGCCCTTCCCCATTTCCAGGGGCTTGACACTCATCTCCTTTCTTAGTGACGCACACGCATCGTTTCGGTTTATTGACTTTGTTTATCATCCGAAAACTTCAGAGTGACATAGTATCATTATCATCAGCACCACGTGGGCAACTTTAGCTTCGTTCTGTTTACCTGCACCCATAGAGTTATTATAATGTACGCTAGAGGTTCAACTGGCGCTACTGTCTATGCGACTACCGTGACGCAAATTGAAGCAGGCAGCAACCAGTCTACTTTTGCGGTGCTCCTGTGCATTCCTATGGGAAAACGTGCGTGCATTTTGTCTCTTCGCCGAAAAATAACACGGAACACTTTGGTTATTTCGGTTGTACCAAATAGTATTGTAAAAGTGTAATTGCTTTAGTTAGCGATTTTTTTTCATTACTGAACGATGTTTAACTTCGCAACATTTCAGTCCCAAACACGCGTTCCGCAGCAGGTGTGTAAAGACAAGCCCCGATTCAAAGCAAAATCACAATCGAAAGGAATATAGAGTGTGTTCAAGGCTCGCCAACATTCAGGTGACGCTTACATAATGGTAATATGCCATTCCTGTCACTATATGAGAATGACCCCGTTGTGCATGAGCGGATAAAAACATTCAGAACGTAAAGAATAAAGTTCGTGGGCTATGAAAGGTGTCTCTTCGTATTGTTTTCTCTGCAGGGCAGCTTTTATCGGGCACTTGTTGTCAAAGATTTCGAGCGTGCGGGTGATATTTTGAACTTTGAACAACCATCTTCGTACAGAGCAGAAAGAATAACGAGGTACTTACTTATTTAAAACCGGAATATATTACGTGGCCTTCAATTTATTTTGATTGCACATGCACGGGTAGGGGCTGATCCAGTGTTACTGCGTAGTTCTTGCCGTCTCCCTCAACTTCCAGATGTGCTTCGTTCGTTTGGCACGTATATCCCTCATGCTGAAAAACGCCGACGTCATGTTCATGCTAATAGTGTCCGCCAGTGCACATAAATACACGTACGAAGCCGTTTTAGCGCCGTTTTTATGCGATAAATTTGAAAGAAAAACGCCGTAACTGAGCAAAAATTTCGTCTGCCTGACTGAGGAATGTTCCAAGGTACCTAGTTCGCACGAATTAATCGGGATATTTGCTTTTATGATCGAGCACAGGGAGAAAATGCAGTAACTCTTTCCCATAGAAATGCATTACCGGAAGTCGATTTTTGACTGCTTGTTGTCTGCTGCAATTTGCGTCAGCACATTAGCGCCACTTGAACCTCTAGCGTACATTATAGTAACTCTATGCCTGCGCCTCCTGCACCGGTACAGAAAAGCGTAGGACGGTTTTACGTCCGGTTGTATTTGAATACACTTACCCGAAGTACACTCCCCTGCACTTCACTGCACCGGTGCGGAGGTGGAGGTAAATCGACCGAAGCCATCGTCATGTTACTATTTTTTTTTTTTTACCGGATTTTGATCATATCGATGGAGGTTGTTAAAACGGTGCGAGACAATTCCCCCGTTGTCTGGTATGTTATTGACATTGGTTGCGAATTGTCTATTATTAGGCCGTAGAATTTCCGTACGGTATTTATTTATGAGGAAAATCGGCGGATGTATTTCGGTGTTTATTTATTTGTCACATATTCGATTCCCGATGTATGAAGCAGACATGCTTCGGAAATGCTTGAGGCGAGCGCGTAGGTGATTCATTTTGTCTTCATGTTTGCAGAGAACATCGTCTGTTTTGTTTTGTTTTAGCCGACTTCTATATTCTTACACCAACAGATGTTTATTGGTGTTTTTGGTTTTTAGCGGATTTTGTATTTCCGACATTGACGCGTGTTTATTGGTGTTTTTAGGTTAAAACCGTAAAGCTTTCGGCATACTTTTAATGTCGTTCGTGATAGTAAAAGTTAGAAGGAGAAAAAAAAGAAAGGGTTAGCACTGATCCTTTGACTGGAATTAATACAACCGTGAACCACGCTGAGGCAATCTGGGCCGTATCTAGTACTATAACAAAAAAGAAGTATTGAAAAAAAAAATGACCTGAGAGGAGAATACAAGACACTTTGACAGACGTGATACCGTATTATTTTTCCACCGTCTGTGTTAAAAAATACCGGGTGTTTTGTGAGCGCTCTTTGGGCGTACGAAAATTGCATAAACAAGCCACTAAACGGAGTGCAAAGAGACTCCTCACAAGGGCGTCTTTATACGGTGTCACTTTTTCTGGGAAAAAGATTAAAAAAAAGAAAAAAGATCCTGCTATTTATAGGCACAAAAAGGAAAACGTAAACAAACCGTCTGGTTGACGCCGCTACTCCTAGATGTCAGCACCTGTAATAAAACTCGAAACCATCTTTGAGATGAACACCCTAAAGCAGATCCAGCTGATTCCAGTGTATGGTGTGAGGGGCAGCGTCAACCACACGATTTGTTTCTGTTTCCTCCGATGTGCATAAGAAAAGGATGCATGTTTTGGCTTAAAGTTTTTTTCCACAAGTATGCACTCATGAGATTTGACTATGACACTTGCTGATTGTTATCTTGTCGGGAGGAGTGTGGAAACCCCCAAGAAGGTGGACGAATGTCTAAAAGTGATGACGTTAAATAAAATCAGTAGCCGTGCTTTGAGACGGCGTGTGTGCGCTTGTCTGTTATTTTATGTATTCAGTGTCTCGGATTTTTTTATTATGACGAGAAATGCACCACTTAAAGACACTTTTCTGACAAGTTTAAAGAAGTGCTGGACCGATGTTTTGGGTGAAAATGTTGGGTCGTAATGGCATTTGTGGCGCACCAATTTGTTATAAGTTACGCTGTTTTGAGCGAAGTCGTGTCCAAATTTATTAAATTAACATAAAAATACAGTACGCAGCCCCTGCATGGTGTACGTTTTTGGAATCTCGCTTCGTGAGCTTCCAAAAACGTTACTTGCCCGGCCAGACAGGCCGGCTTAGGGAGGCGCTCTGCCCGGTTTAGACTACGTGGCGCAACGTGCCGACCGTTACATCGGGCATAGCTGCTAGTTACCCATCCATCCGGTATTCGGCAACCTCTGCATATATCGTGATCGTCGAGCGTCTTCGTGCCTGCTCGCACCTCGAGATCGGACCGTGGTTCTGCTGTAGACGCTTTCAGGCAGCTGTGCGTGGGTGCCGCCATAACTGACCTTCAGGTTTTGGTTCCTCTTACTCTGTTCGCTTCACTTCATCATTGCCACAGCAGGATAGGTTATTGCCACTTTAGCTGCTACTGTGTCCTTCTCCCCAGCGTAAGTCTTTCTGGAGGCTCGTCAAAGCCCGCTTCAGTGGCTCGGCACCTCGGTAAGACAAGAAGAGAAGGTCGGCAGTGGCAACTCAATCTGGCGCGTGCTCAAAGCGTCTATAGCGACGTGCGGCAACAGCAGCAGCAGCCAACGTTACTAGATCAAAGCAGCAGGGGGCAACGATGTGCCGTCTCATGAGGAGCGCGAGCATGTTTCAAGGAAGAGGCCTAAAGTTCTGCCACGGCCACTCGATTAGGACTCCCCTTGGGAGCGGCCTGCCGTATGCCTCACTCCGCCGGTGAGGGCGATAGTTCTACTTTACCCCGCAGCGCCAGCCGTGGCACTCGTTATCGGTGAGAGATTGAGTTCCTTTCGAGGGAGCATATCGAGGAACTCTATACTCCGTTTCACGTTAGTATGTACTTGTTAGCCGCGCGTGCTAAAAGCGCGAGATAGTTGCTTCGAAGGAAGCCTCGGCGGCTGCATGAGCGCTCGTGCAGCGAGTGCTCCAGTCAAGGCAGTAAAGGCTAGCCGCTCGCGCTAGCACAGCGTTCGCGGTTAGTCCATGCTAAGGTAAGACGAAATATAGTGAGAGAGGAGCGGTACGCCCGGCCCGGCCCGGTGTGGCTATTTAGATTTTTTTTCGTGAAGCCGCAAGTCTCAATTGAAACGAGCGCCTGATTGCATGAATGATGTGACAAATCTGTGTAGAATAAAAGCACATAATTTTTTCTGCGAAAACCTCACTCAGCAGCAGGCTGCGCGTTAAAGCTCCATTCTGCTGGCAGTATGAGCGAATCGTCGTTTTCTTGTTCCCGTAACTGTTGCCTCGTTTCTATTACCACTGTAATATAGGAGTTATAGTTGGATATAGCTAGGCCGTATGATTGCCGGTTTTAACCGACGCTCGAGCACGCGCGAGCTGTGCTATTTATTCATCTGTGAAGGACAATATAAAATCAAATTCCGCCTGCATAACTTCAGCAATATAAACTTCATTGTTCACAAAAAACAGACCAAGGGAGTCATATAGTTCACAAGCGGAGCACCTTTCGGGAAGGCTTCCGCGAAAGCCTCAATATATTCTCTAGTGGGCTGTTTAGGTCACCAGCCCAGTTTGCCAAAAAAGGTCTGAGGAGTTTCTTGAGAAAGAGTTCGCAGAGCTCTTCGCTGTGGTAGGGGTCTCGGCAGTTAACCCACCACAACAGCGGGCAGTCCATAAGGTGTGAAAGCACAGCGCTCGAGAGGACCTTGCAAATCCGTCCACGACGACGAATCTCTGCCGACTGTAGAGCCCTCTCGACAAAGGTGCAGACGAGCTTGCACAGCCAGACAGCTTCAGGTCGTGGATAGCTGAGTCCTCCTTGGTCAAGGCTAAACATGGACTGATATGCTCCGTCATGTGATGCATTTCCCTTAAGTTGCGCTTGCATTCAGGACACGTCACCTGCAAAGTTTAGCGGGTTCTACACATTAGCCTTCCTTGCTTTCACTGAGAAATTCTTATTGCTTTGCTAGGTTGAATTTTTCAGCTAATTACTTTGAAATTACGAAAATTTCTATTAATAAAAATTGTCACCTTTTGTTCGCAAACGAAGGCCAAGTAGCCAGCCATTTAAGTCAGCGATGCAAACTCAAGTTCGAAAGAGACTTCATTATACTTGATCAACTGCAGGATTTCCTGTTTCACGAGTGGAGTTGGCACATTTCATCGCCGTCTGGCATTCAGAACTAGAACGCGCGTTTACATTTCCGGCAGCTTCCAAAATGCCAACACAAACCACACACGCTAGCGCAGAGTGACACAGCGATATTTTCGCCGAGCACAGCGGTGCATAGGTGGGGGGAAAGCGAGTTCTGGCTGCCTTCTGCAACCGCGGCAGCGCCTCGGTATCGGTGAAGCCAATGACAGGCAGATATTTTATCTGGGTAGCGGAGCAAGAGCGCGTTGGGCGCCTTTTCTATACTCCGTTTCACCTTATGTTGTACCGCAGCGAAGGCTGGAAGCGCGAGCTCATAGCGTTGACAAATGCCCTTACTGCACGAGAGCTTGTGCCGCCGAGATCTGCCCCAGAGCAAGGAGCTCGCGCTTACAACCTTTCCTGCGGTACACTGGGTGAAACAGAGTATAGCTTTCAACTCACAAGACCGCTCACTAGGGTGCCCACATGTCTGTCTGTCTCAGGGTGAAGATATTCATTGTTGCCCTGGATGCGTCAGCGCGTGACGCTCTCGAGCGCTCGGTGTGTGACTTGGGCGGTAAAATAACGTCTATGCGTTAGCCAAAGCTACGCGCTCGAGCTGACTGACACCGGATTGCGCGCACTTCAATATGCATGAAGAAACGACTGGGCGGAAAAATGGCTGAGATGTCACCACTCAAGCAAAAGCGCGCGTGTGTGTGAAGGCACTCTACCGCTCACCGATGTGCAGCGCCCCCACGGAAAATGGGAGTTTTCCTCTCACGCGCGCTCTTTTGTTTTCGGAAAGACATCGGCAGGCCGCACCAACAGGGGGGATCGAGTGGCCGTGGTTCTGCCGTACGTACACCTGCTACAGACGTCCTCGTCGCATGCTCAGAACGATGCTCGAGAACAACTTTTTCTGGCAGTTAGAAGTGGTCAACGCGCGTGCACAGCTTTGACCGGTGCTCAAGGTCTGCGAGCGCACAGGTACCCAGAGCTTGGGCTTCACTATGGCACTGGGTTTGACGGCCTGCAAAGAATGCACGCAGATGCAGGTGCAACGTCCATTCCACACAATCAGAACCGTTGCTCTTGAAAGACGATAAGTGGGAGCTAATTTTGCGCGTGCACAGCGAACCTGCGAGCAACGTCCAAGAGTATGGCGTTCCGTGAATACCCCTAAAGGTGGTATTCACGGGGCGCCATAATTGAGCGCAGCGTTCTCTGCGCATGCTCAGAACGATGCTCCATTTAATTTCCAAGAGGATGTGCGCGTTGCGGAAGCGTTGTAGGTGCTCATCGTAAGCTCGTGCCCTGCGACAGCGGGCTCAACTATGGCCGCCAGTGAATAACACCCATAGAGTTATTACAAGAAACGCTAGAGGCTCAGCTTGTGCTGTTTCATTTTGAAGAAGACAGCAAGCAGTCAGAAATTGACTTCCGGTAATAATATGGGAAAAAGCGAGTGCGGTTTCTCTCTGCGCTCGATTATAAGAGCAAATATCACTAATAATTTGTACGTATTAGGCACATTGTAACATTTCTCGGTCACACAGAGGAAATAATTGGTCAGTTACAGCATTTTTATTTGAAATTCGTGGTATGAAAAACTGTGTTAAAACCGCTTTGTACGTGTATTTATCTGCACTGTCGGGCACTGTTAGCGCGAACACGGCGTCGGCGCTTTCCAGCATGGGGAATATACGTGCCAAACAAACGAAGGACATGTGGAAAACCAAGAGAGACGGCAAGAAGTACGCATTAACACTGGATAAGTAACTCCTTGTGCATGCAGACGATCAAAATAAATTGAAAGCCACGTAATATAGTCGGATTTGCAATAAATAAGTACTGCTTTATTCTTTCTGCTCATGAATATGTGCGAAGATGCTTGTTCTGGGTTCAAATCATCACCCGCACGCTCCAAATCTTTGCAAATAGGGGAGGCCATATAGAGCAGGTGCCCGATAAAAACTGCCCGACATAGAAAATAATAAAAAGACACACCTTTCGTAGCTCACGAGCTTTATTTTTTGCGTTCGAATGTTTCTTTAACCGATCGTAAAGGTGCACGAAGGAGTCATTTTCCTCCAATGACAGGACGGGCATATTAGCAATATATAAGCACCACCGAAATGCTAGCAAACCTTGAACACACTCTACATTCCTTTCGATCGTTAGTTTGCTTATAATCGTCGCTCGTTTTCACATCCCTTCCTTGAAACAGAGGTTTGGACATAAAATAGAGCGAAGTTTAACATCATTCAGTGGTAAAGAAAAATGCTGTAACTAAAGCAATTACACTTTCACAATACCAATAAAGGTGCATACTATCCGGTACAACCGAAATGAGAAAAGTTATTCATGTTATTTTCCGGCGAAGAGACAAAATTCACGCGCGTTTTCCCGTAGGAATACACAGGGAGGCTGAAAATGTAGACTGCATGCTGTCTGCTTCAATTTGGAACCGGAAGTCCCGTAGACACTAGCGCCAGCTAAGCTTCTAGCGTTTATTGTAATAACTCTATGATAACACCTACACAGGCGAACGAAAAACGAGAGAGAGAACAAGCAAGCATACGTCCTCTCCGCCACGGCTACTCCCACAAGGCCTCGCTCGCAGCGTCTGCTTCCCGCTGACGGTTTCGCTCAATCAGTGCGATCAGAGAACTTCGTTCAAAGA